TCTACAATAAACCAAAAAATTAGCCAGGCGTGGTAGCGCGTGCCTGTAGTTCCAGCTACTTGGAAGGCTGAGGCGGATGGATTGCCAGAGCCCAGCAGGTTGAGGCTGCAGTGGCTGGGAGCAGCCACTGCACTCCAGTCTGGGTGACAGAGTGAGACTCCAACTCAAAACAAACAAACAAAAAATAGTAACAGTGGGCTCGGTGGCTCAGCTTGTAATCCCGCGCCTTTGGGAGGCCGAGGTGAGTGTATTGCCTGAGCCTGCGGGTTCGAGACCCGCCTGGGCAACTTGGCGAGACCTCATCTCTACAACAAATAAAAAAATCAGCCAGGTGTGATAGCGCGCGCCTGTAATTCCGGCTACGCGCAAGGCTGAGGCGGGAGGATCGCCGGAGCCCAGCAGGCGAGGCTGCGGTGGCCGGGAGTGGCCACTGCACTCCAGTCTGGGCGACAGAGTGAGACCCCAACTCAAAAAAAAAAAAAAAGATGAAGTAACGTCAGAATGAGCGGGCCCCTAATCCAATCGGACCAGTATCCTCATAAAGGGAACATTTGAACGCAGACACACACACAAGGAGAACACCACATGGTGACTGGAGTTCTGCTGCCACAGACCGAGGAGCCGCCAGAAGCCGGGAGAGAGGCTCAGAGCAGACCCCTGCCCAGCGCCTTCAGAAGGAGCGGGGCCCTGCTGCCTGCAAGGCCTGAAACACCTCGGTCTCAGCCTTCTGGCCTCCAGAACAGGAGTGAATAATGCTGCAGTAACATCGGTGTTCGGATAGCTGTTCAAGCACCTGCTTTCAATTCTTTGGAGTAGACGGCTAGGAGGAATTCGATTTGTAGCTTTTTGAGGAACTGCCAATTCTAGTTGGTAAAGCCACTCCATTTGTGACATGATCAGCTCTCCCTACACCTCAGATTCAACCAATCATGAATAGAAAATATTTGGGGCGGGGCTCGGTTGTTCATGCCTGTAATGCCAGTGCTTTGGGGGGCCAAGGCGAGAGGATTGCCTGAGTCACGGGGTTCGAGACTAGCCTGGGCAACTTGGCAAGACCTCGTCTCTACAATAAATCAAAAATTATCCTGTGCCTTGGGAGGCTGAGGTGAGTGAATTGCTTGCGCCTGCGGGTTCACGACCCACCTGGGCAACTTGGTGAGACCTCATCTCTACAATAAATCAAAAAATTAGTCGGGTGTTGTAGCACGCGCCTGTAGTTCCAGCTACTTGGAAGGCTGAGGCGGAAGGATCGCCAGAGCCCAGCAGGTCGAGACTGCAGTGGCCGCTCCCAGCCACTGCACTCCAGTCTGGGCGACAGAGTGAGACTCCAACTCAAAAAAAACACCAAAAAACAAAAAACATCTGCTGATGCACATGTGGTCACTGCCGCCTTTAGCCAGTGTGAATAATGCTGCAGTGAACACTGGTGTTCAGATAACTGTTCAAGCACCTGCTCTCAATTCTTTGGGGTAGATGGCTAGGAGGAACTCGATTTGTAGCTTTTTGAGGAACTGCCAAACTGTCTTCCACAGCGGCTGTGCCATTTTACCTTTCCGCCACAATGGCCCTTGCCGATGTTACCTTACCTGCTTTTCTGGCCCTTCCCACCACCCAATACAGTCTATATTTAATGACATATCGAGTTTACCGTCTGCTACTGCCACACCTAAACTGTAGGCTTTGTCAGAGCAGACACGCCTGTCAGTTTTGTTCATGCTCCATCCTCCGTGTTTAAACTGTATTTAGAACTTAGTAGGTGTTCAATAAATATCGAGTGACCGAATGAACAAATGTGATCCTGGGGCTAAGTCCGTGGGTTTGAAGAGGCAGCTACTCAATATCCCAGTCATTTCCTACAGTTCTAAGATCCCGTGGGTTCCCTCAAGGGCCACCCTGACACAGGGCTGGTTTTCCCAGCGTCATTCACTGGACTCTGGGAGCAGGAGAGCTGGGGGGGTCTCTTCAGAGAGAGCTCCTGGCAGGTGTCAGGCCTGGCTGTGTATCAGGGAGATGTCAGGGTCATGGGCCTGGAGTGGAGGGGTGTGTAGGGGTGGGATGAGGGTGAAGAAGACGGGTGCTGGTGGAGAGAGGGCGGGGGTCAATTAAGAGGCTGGAGGCTCAAAACAACCAGAAAATAAGTCAGCGCTAGGAAACCCCCCTAAAAATGAGGGACCTGGGGAGGGAGCGACCAGTGAAGGGAGGAGCTTGGGCGAGGGGGCGTGGCCAGGAAGGGCGCGCTCCCGGAGAGGCTGG